TCGGATCGGGTCATGAGTCAACTTCTTATTGAACTAGATGGTGAGTGTTCCACACTTAAAAGGACTTCTCAGCTGTTTCTACATTTGTAGTTTATTGGAGAACATTAGAGGTCATTATACTCCAATCTTGTTTGTTTTAGGTAAGCAAGTTTAGTTCGTGGCCATTTGACTAAAGCATTTTCTTGTAATGAAACCCAATGACCATTCTGTCAAAGCTACACCGCAAAATTTATAGGGATACAAAATTATGTTTTTCATAGTGTCTGGAAGTAACTTCTAAGATTAATGAATCAAGATCAACGTCATATACTGGACTCTCTACATTTTCCATGGGTCTGGAAAGAACTTCTAAATTTAATTAATCAAGAACAATGCCATATACTAGACGCTGCCTACCTTCTTGTGATACCATCTCTCTCCATATGCTGTACTAGTTTTAATGTTAAAAAAAAGGGGGTATGTTTTGGGTTAGGTATGAACGACCTGTTTAGGGTGGTGAGTTTAAGCAGGGTCGAATCCAAAGTTAATGAGTACAAGTATCTCATGTGTGTATGTATTCGAGATGCAAACTTTCAGTTTTTAGTAGGCTTTTTATTGATTTTTAAAGGAGGGTCCTCATGATGTAACTACACCAATGTCATACACATTCAACATGGGTACAACAAAGCAAAAAAGAGTGTACAACATAGTTTTTAGTCTTTTTGATCAGTGAGTGAATTGCAGTTTTTATTCATGTCAGAAGCAGGTACTTAATGATGTGTTGTTAATAACCAGAGGAATGATGTAGTGCAGAGGATTTCTGTCTAGAGATGTAGTTTCTTGAAGTTTTTGTTGTTTAAAATCCATCCTAAGGGTACAGAACATGAGATGCTTATCTTCACATTGAATCTGAGACACTTGACGGGTAGCTTGGGGAAGGGAAAAGTAATGACATCTCATTATATGGTTTCCTTTACTTGACTGAAGATTGTGAGTTCTTTAATAGAATGCCTGGGACTACCCGTAAGATGTGGCTTATTTTAATTTGTAGAACTAGGATCCTAATGAGGAAAAGCATTTCAAACTTGTCTCAGTTTCGTTATATATGAGGAATCTTTGATTGTCAAAGTTTATGATTGGCTTAAGCTGGAATTTTACTATTTTTTTGTTGAAGGTTTACATCAGAGAGTTAATGTCACTGTTATTGCTGCAACAAATCGACCAGACAAGATTGACCCTGCTCTTCTAAGACCAGGTGAAATCCGTTATTCCTCCTTTTATGTTATATTTTGCTGCTACTACCAATTCTTTGCTTGAAATCTGCCAGAGCTCCTTAAAGATAGTGCTATTTTTGTTAGGACGTTTTGATAGATTGCTGTACGTTGGACCTCCAGATGAAAGAGACAGGGAGTCAATATTCCACATACATTTGAAGAAGATGCCATGCAGTTCTGACATATGCATTGAAGAGCTAGCTCGGCTAACCAGCGGCTGTACTGGTGCTGACATATCGCTGATATGTCGTGAAGCAGCTATTGCAGCTATTGAAGTAAATTCACTTTTTAATGTGGCTGTGTTATACATCTCCTCCCAACCCCCTCTCTTTCTGTGTATGCATATTTTTCTTTGTCCTAACCTTTTTGGTATCAGGAAAGCCTTGATGCATCTGAAATAACAATGGAGCATCTGAAGGCCGCCATTAGGCAAGTGCCTCCATCTGAAGTTCATTCATACCAGGAGTTATCAAATAGGTTTCAGAGGCTAGTGCACTCAGACCCTGTGAAAGATGATTAGTCATCAATGGAACATTAGAATTGATGGCTTTTGGCGCAGGAGGAGGTAAATCTACCTATATTATATATTTTATTATAAAGTTCTTATGAAGCTTTAGTATCTTTTTATTTCTTGGTGGAAGAGATGATATAAAAAGTTGCTACTTAATTCATGGAGGGGTTTTCCACTTGGATGTATTCTAACTTAGATCTCTGACATCCAATTGAGAAGATCAGTGGGGGACTGGGGTTGGAAAACCTCTAAACTAGATCTGTTAGAATATTTAATTGCGTTCTTATAATTTAAGAAAGGAGTCCAAATATGAAGACAAATCCTATTAGATCAGGAAATGATGTATCCTATACACTCCGTAACATGTACTTATCAAAACTTTGAAACATGAAATGCTTTTTGACAAAAAATGCTTCAAATTTTGGAAGTGTTGAAAACCATCGGATTCAAGCATAAATTAGTGACGCAAAATCCTAGTGATAAAAATGACCTGATTAACTAACACTTTTGATTTTAGATATGGATCTTCACTAAAACTATTAAATTCCTATTAGATTGTGAAAGATTGATTTTAAAGCTAGTTTGTTGAAAGGTGCTTCAATAAGCAGACTACTAGACTCTTCTTTTTGTTTGTCGTCAATGTTGTATAGCATTCCTTGAATGTTGGGACATTTGAAGTCACAATGAATGTTTTCTAATCTTAAATTTAGGATGCAGATTTTGATAAAAAGATATTTTAATGGATATGCTTTTAGATTTTAAAGTATGGTATGTACGCATTATAGTTCAGTAACATTCTTATCATACAAAATCATTGCTTATAGGTAGCACGACTGGAAGCAGAAGACTTTTATCTTTTTGAGATCATACTTCGAATCAAGGGCTGTTTTAAGCTTTACTAATTTGCCCATACTGCTTTATTAACGATGGCTCATAGTATGAGTTCCGTGTCTAGGAGATTCATATGTCTTTATACAGAAGTAATCATGAACATAAACTTTTCACCCTTGAAGCATGATTTTGATCGATTGTGGTGTTTGTTTGATTACTGCTATCAGGTTCAACATTCGAGTCTTCTTTGCACAAATGGATGTTGTTGCCATAATTTACACATCTTCCATGTTAATTCCAGAAATCTACTGCAAAAACATATATGCAGTAGATCTCAGACGAACTAATTATTTAAGATACATCAAGGGAAAGTCTATTCCATTCAGCAGGGCCAGAATGAGTGTTTCTATTGGTTAATGTCAACTATTTGATTCCATCAATGAGCTGAGTAACAGCTATTCAGTGGAGTAATGTTTCACAAACTGAAACTTTCTTATTCTGATCCTTCGACGAGTTGTTTTCAATCAAGGACTCAATACACATGAAATGCTTATTTATGATGGTGGTGATAGTAAGAAGATAGCAAGGTAGCTCCAGTATGGGTACTTCTGGTGTTAAACAGAAGATTGCACTCTATGGATGATGTGTTAAAGTACATGGTATTTTGTGTATTATGCATAAACATAACTTGTAAACTATATAGAACTATAGTAGGTATACATCATCTTTCTGATTGAATACAACCTTTGACATCCTCTATATGTATACCAAATCACATATTAGCAATTGTTGATTGGTGATCGCGTTGTTTCTTGTACTTTCTTTATTGGATTGCTTTGGACTTTTTTCTTTTTGAGTTGAGAGTCTGTCGGAAACAACCTCTCTATCTCTAAGGTAGGGGTAAGGTCTGATATAAACTATGCTCAATCTCAAATAAGTCGAGTTCAGTTATATGAGTTCTCACTATTATATTTTTAACTTTATATGGAAATTATAACACACTCAATATGCAATAGAGCAATTATTAGTACATAAATACTTCAAATGGGGTCACCTGTCCACTTTGCTTTTCTTTCATTGGACTTCATCTTCTTCTCTCTCTCCTCTTTCCCTTTTAATATTAATTTATATTTGGGAAAGTGTTTCTCTCTTTCCATTTCATAATTTTTTTTAATTTCCTCTATCCAATCATAATATCTGTACAACCTCATCTAATGTTTCTGTGACAATGTACCAAATGCTACTAATTTTTTCTGAAAGAGAATCTTTGTGACCTTTGACTTAGAGCTGTAAATGCACCTTTCCATAGCCACCGCATCAATTTCATTGGTGTCACAACAAGCATTATAAAGTTGTTATCAAATTAAATGATAACTTTTTTAAAAAAACTGAAGATTAGTACTTAACTAAACAGTATTAATGTTAATTAACTTATCATAAGTGATTAACACAATTATGTTATCATAAGTTTGGTTAAAACACTATTGTGAGTGTATAATTTATAATTTTTCCATTACATAACCCCCCCCCCCCCACTCTACTAGCTACCCTATGAGTTTATGACCCCACCTAGCTTCACATCCACATGGCTCCTAATAAAACTCTATAAAAAATCTTAAGAAAAAGCATCTTCAACAGTAACATAATATAAGGACAAAAGGAGTAAAAACACACCTCAATTTTGGTGAAACTATCAGTTACACACATGTTCTTTGCTTCTATAATCCTCAACTATTTAAAATTGATATTGTTAAATCCTTAAATATTAAACTGACATAGGGTAAAAAGATTTTTCTTAAAATAATATCTTTTTTTTTTTGGTTTCTTTATTATCTTTTAGTTCGCATTTTTAATGCCATGAATATTTTTTCCTTTTTTGTCTTCATTTTTTTCTTTTAATCTTATTTTTCCTTTTTATTTCTCACCACAATATCATCATTATTTCATCGTTATCATATCGATACTCAAATTCAAATCTTACTTTATAACTTTTCACCAAAAATAAGGTTATTGGTGACTTTGTTTCAACATTTTTCATTCATTTCTTTGTTAATCTTCGCCGTCGCTCAAATTCATATAAGAAGGATATAATTTTAAAAAAAGGAAAAAATGCAAAATATATATATACATGGCGGTGCATAAACAATATTCCATACCAATGTCCAATTTTAAGATCGATATTTATTCCACTTAAAAATAGGTTGAAGATTGTAAAACTTGCACACAGAAAAGATATACTATAACTAATAATTTCGCCATAATTGTAATATGTTTTTGTGCCTTTTTTTTTTTCCCTCTAATAATAAAAAGCTGAAAAAGAAACAAGATCCACCTCGAACACCCCTCCACAAAACTCTTCCTCACCCCCCACTATCCATAAAATTCCCACAATTGCAAAAAAAAAAAAAAAAAAAATCCAAAGTAAAACTTCATTTTCTCCCTCTTTCTTTCAATACCCAGAAATCAAGATTCTTCACTAAGAGGGAGTTGGGTGATAAAGACAAACACCCATCTCAAAAAAAAAATCTCATCTTTCAATTTGTACACTTGTCTTTTTCCAACCCCATATCTTGTTTATATCTGTTTATCACCTGGTTTGTTTAGATTCTTTTGTCAATCTTTAAGTTCCCATAAAAGGAGAGATCTTTTTTATCTTTTTGTTTTTCTTTCCTATTTGATGGTTTAAGTTTAGTTTTATTAGTTCTAAGTAGTAATCCAAGTAGTAACTTGTTATGATTCAGGTTAATCTGTTAACCAAGTTAGAGTTGGAGTCATAAAGGTGAGATCTTGGTGGAAAAAAAATCCATGATTTTGGGTTTTCAAGAAGGATAAGGAAGATGAGGATCGGGGAATCTTAGTAGCTTAGTTGGTTGGCTTAAAGGGTTCGATTCCTCAGGTTGTAATCCCCTTACCCTACCCCAAAATAAGGAAGATGAGGGAAGAAGATTCAAATTGGTTTGCTAAGTGGGAAGAAGAATTGCCTAAACCAGAAGAGTTAATGTCTTTATCTCAAACCCTTATTACTCCGGATCTTGCGATAGCTTTTGATATTCCAAACCCCACAAGCCCAAATCCTCAGAGCAAACAGCAGCAGACTCCTCATGTTCAATCTTCTCAGCCTAATTCATCAGCTGAATTTGAATCAACTGAGCTGAATGGGGGAGGAGGTGGAGATGAACCAGCTAGGACATTGAAAAGGCCACGCCTTGTGTGGACACCACAGCTACATAAGAGGTTTGTGGATGCAGTTGCTCATTTGGGGATCAAGAATGCTGTCCCTAAGACTATAATGCAACTGATGAGTGTAGATGGATTAACACGCGAAAATGTTGCTAGTCATTTGCAAAAGTATAGGCTTTATTTGAAACGTATGCAAGGTCTTTCTAACAGTGGAAGTGGTGGGAGCAATGCTCAGTCTTTATCAGGGGCAGGTGTTGATCCAGCAATGGATAATTTGTTTGCTAGTTCACCTGTTCCGGCACATTTTCTGCATCCGGGGAGGGGTAACTCTGACCATTTCATGCCGTTTGTGCCAGTGACACCGATGCAGCATCACCATCATATGGGAGTGGTTGTTGGACACCATCCACAAGTTCAACAGCAGTATAGGCAATTTGGGTCACCGGCGAATGGACATTTTGAGCATCCTTTTCTGTCTAGGCAATCACAGCAGCAAGTTCAGAGAATGGGGACATCAGTGCATAATGGTAGTCCTGTGGTATCATCTTATGTGGAGGATGTGGATTCAGCCACCGCCGTCAATGGGAGGAAGGTCCTTACTCTGTTTCCAACAGGGGAAGATTGATATCAGGGTAACTGTTGATTTTTAGCCTTCTATAAATCCTGTTAATTTGACTTCTATGTATTCTAGAATTTGAGTTGAATAACATTTGCGCTTTGTGTTAGTACCCTTTATTGGATTAATGGTGTTTTAGTGTTAATATCTATATGGAGTTGTTGATATGGTCTTCAACTCTTAATGGAGCTGTGAATCCCCTTTTATAAGAATTTGGATTTGATGCCTAGTGTCAGTCCTGAAACTGTTCAGTTAGATGAATTCTACTATTGTAATTACGTTGTGACGAGTTTGACTTGTTTAATTGTCCCTTACATTTACATTTGCCACACTGAAGTATTTTTGTCGCTGTTGGTTTGCGGAGTGAGTTTATTTTCCCCCCTCTGAAATGCCAAAATAAGTAAAAACCTGCTAAGAATCTCTGTCCTCACTTTCTTACTTGAAGTTGTAGTAAACTTGTCAAGTGCACAAGCCTTGTGAAGTTTGTTTATAATGGTTTACTATATGTTGAAGGACTTTTTCTTATATGGTATTAGCTCCTTTCCATCTGTTTTTCCTTCAGTGTTGAAAACTTCACCGTCTCTTGTTTTCTCCGTTGTTCGTGTTTGTCTAAATCCTCACTCCTTTTTCTTATTGTTCTTTACTCTGGAAATGGGATGGAAGTTCATCCTCACAATAAGAGGTTTGCTCTAGTAAGATTAATTCTATTGAATGACTACTACAACAACAACATATCCAGTATAGTCCCACAAGTGGGGTAGAGAGATTCTTTCCAATAGACGCTCGGCTCAAGAAAATCATTTCACTAAAATCAATTGCTAGTCAATCTACTAATTGATTTTTCTACTTCAGTGGCTAGAACCACAAAAGAATTATGTATGCAACCATGCATGACTTGTATTTCTTTGCCTCTTAAAACATACTTGCCCTATTGGACTTTCTCATCTGAGATAGAGAAAGAAGGATCGGAACACGAAAACTTTATACTACTTGATTAACTAGGATTGGACTTAGAGTTGAGTGTCATTGCTATTACTTTGTTCCTGCTATTTGTTATACTGATCTGAGGAAATTCATCATCTGTGTGTGATTTCTTTTCTTTTTAAAAATAAGAAATTGAAGTATTTCCTCAGTGGCCATGTGTAGTGTTGGCTGTATCTTCAGTATATATATAATTTTTTTTAATTTACTATAATATCTGTTCAGTCTTTCAAGACAACTAAATCTAGATTAAATGTTATAATTATATGCAAATTGCAAATAGGTCAATAATCTTCCAACTTTCTGTGAAGTTCTTTCTTGGTCTCGATAACTGTCCCTTCCATATTTATTTGCCATGCTGAGGTGTGTTTCTCTGTTGGTTTGGGGAGAATGAGTTCATCCCCTTTCTGAAAATCTGTCAGTTTTCTCAGTTGAAGTAGTAGTAGTGCACGAGCCTTGTAAACATCTGGTTTGAATGGTTCACAATATGCCACAACTTCTTTTCTTATATGGAATTAGCTCCTTTCATCTCTTTTCATAAGAAAACCTCACTGCCTCTTGCTTTTCCCCGTTGTTCATGTTTTGTCGAAATCTTCTCTGCTTTTTCTTCCTGTTCTTTACTCTGGAAGTGTGATTGAAGTCCATCCTCACATTAGCAGATTTACTGTGCTAAGATTCAGCACTAAAATCATATGCGAATCAATCTTCTAAATAAGTACCATGGATTATTCTACTACATTTGCTTGTTATCACAAAGAATAATGTATAAACCTTTCAGGCTATGTATTACTCAATCATATATAACTTTTATTTATTTCCCTCTTTAACACATATTTTCCTTTGTGGACTTCCTCATTACTATTACTTTGTTCCTCTTATTTGTTGCTATATTGCTCGGACTCTTTAAAAAATGGCAACAGTTGCATGTTGAATCCTCGGACACGACTCACGAGTGTGGCAACATTTTTTGGAGAGTTTGAGGAACATAGATTTTTTGTAGCGATATGAGCAAATTCATTGTTAGTAGTCTTAGCTGATAGAATGGTGGTGGGGACTAATAGTATTCCTTGTTCTTTCCTCTTATGTAATTTTTAAAGTATTTTCACAATGGCCATGTGATGCTAGCTGTATATCTAAAGTTTACATTATAATTTGTATTGGGATTAATCCTAAAATTCTGTTCAACATTGTTTGGTGTTGCCAACTCAAATTTTGTCATACATTAATATCTAGTCACTATCATTCAGTATAATGCCAAAAAAATCTTTTGAAAACATATAGAAGAAGATGCTCTCTCTCTCTCTTTTGAAGTCTATAGAAGGCATCTTTTGAATTAAACATAACAGTCATATTTGTTGGGCTTGATTGAGTAATATATGTATTTTTTTTCAGCTTGATATATTAGGAAAAAGTGGTTGGTAGATAGTTCTTGATCAGTAATTGTTTGATTGTCTCAACAGTCAACACTAAAAGGAGCTGTAAAAAATATTGTGGAATTCCTGTTTTGTGACCCCTAAATGTTTTTTTTCAAAAAGTGGTGTGGATCCTATAGAAGCTATGAATATCATTGACTAGGTAATTACAGTCGGTCATACAAAATTAGGAGTAAAAAAGTGAGAAAATCCTTGCTTCTTGTTTAGTGACCCTCTAAATGCTAAAAAAATGTGACGTGAATCATGTAAGGCTATGGGAATGATTTACTAGGTCATTGCGGATAATTCTAAATAATTTGGACCAAATATAGTCGATCGGTCATACCTCCAAAAATTTATGAATTAATACACCTGAAAAACAAAACAAAATCTAAAATTCTTGTTTCATGTCCCCTAAATACGTTAAATGAAACGGTGTTGCATAACATCCATTTCACTGACATATATTTGCTTTTGATAGTATCTAGTTGATTTCAAATTTTAAGTCCGCCTCTTGATTATATGAGTATATAACTTAAATCTAAATCACATGTTCTTCCAAACAGATCTGATCCATTAAGGTCTTGTAAAAATTATATACAAATTGATTTCACATTATTGAACACTTTGTCCTCATCATGCACTCTCCTTGATATGTGGAATTATTATTATAATGAAGAAGAATCAAAGACTTTGCATGGATCTAAATGGATTTGCTTCCACTGTGGTTTGCAAATCAAGCGGACAGATCTATAACAAAATTTCATATTACTGTGTCAATGAACAACCATATATTAATCCCGTAGAATAGTCGAGATGCACCACAGCTATTAAAAACTAAAAATTTAGCTCAAACGATCCATGTGCCCCATTTTTTCCACACCTTTTTTCGGTTTTATACTGTTGGTGGGGATAGGAGAATTATTTGAAATGGTGATATGCTATTTTAGCATTTCCTTGTCCCAACTTGTTTCGAGACTTTTCCCTTTTGGCCGGTGTCAAAAAAGTCCTTTTATAAAAATTAGAAACTTGCCAAATTTGACGTTCTCATTTCCCATTGACACAGTAGCCATTCCATCCCAAGTGGTTCCCCAATTCGGCCTGGCCAATCGGGAAGAGGGATTCACATAGAGACTACTACTATCCGGAAATCTCTTTCTATATTAGGCTAATGAATTGAGTATGAGAATGTAAAGTCAATACAAGACAAGAATTTTAAGGGAGTAATAATAGCAAATGCATATAGTAGTTAATATGAAGTCAGTACTTAATTCTTCCACTCCAACTGAGTTCCAAAAAATGAAAGCAAAAGGAACTAATAATGCAGAGCACCAAGTATAATAGAGTATTACATTTTTAACCTAAACCAGGATAGCACTAAGAGAGAACAAAAATTACATTCACCATCAACTGTGGTTCTGGGAGTATCCAAAGCTTAGCGGTTGCTGACAGAAAGCAGGCTGCAACAAACAGAAGATAAAAGAGGGATTGCATTAGTAACTTGAGTTAGGTAAGACACATATCCACCACCGGGTGTTTACACCACAGTGTTTGAATATTACACAACTATGTTTTAATCATGACCATAGTTAAATATATATTTCCACTTCATTAAACCACTTTACCAATGGTAACTTGAATTGGTTTGGTGTACCACTTGGTGCGAATAAGTATTGACCCTTTAGTTGCATGTAGTTAAGAGATATCACACAAATTCTCAAAAAATTATAAATAGAACTTGATAAATAAAACAGAGATCAACAACATGAACAGATGGGCAGGCGTGCGCCACCAACAGAGGGTTGATTTATGCAAATGTCCCTTTTTAGGTCCCCATTTCTGAAAGTTGTTGAATATACCTAAGAAATTACCCTTTCGGATAACACTAGACTCGGCCCTAATGTTTACTCATATTTTCTCAACCTTACAGACAAAACATAGACCATCATCTAACATTTGCAATGACACACAAAATCTTAGATTGTGGTCTAGTTTTCCCATTTACTTTAGCCGATGGTCTATCGAAAACAGCCTCTTTACCTTCATACGGTAGGGGTAAGGCTGCAGACGCTACCTTCTCCAGACCCCACTTGTGGGATAACGCTGGGTATGTTGTTGTTGGTCTAGTTTTCTCATAAGATTTTCAGTTTACTCAAAAAGGAATCTCCGTAGCCTTGAGGTCTCCATCAGTTGGCAAAGAAATAAAAAAAGGGTCACTTGCTAAAATAATTGTCCCATTTTCAGACAACTAATGGCAATTGCTGCTGTGGTTGAGACTCAAAAATGAGATCTCATACTAATATGCATACCCTGATAATATTTGCCAAGAAAGATGACATTGGTTTTTTTTTATGAAGAGAAAGATGACATTGGTTATTTCTCCTTATAGCTATATTCGTTGGAATATAGTTAGTCAAAATGCAAAGCCAGGAAAAGAACACAAAAGTGCAAGATTCTAATGTTATATTAGCATCTGCCAGTAATAAGACACTGGGAGCTGATAGAACAAACAGACTAGCCACACCAGAAAATATTATTATATGTAGAGACCAGCGCTCCAAACATAGAACTTACGGTAAGACATATATGGATAACTGCCAATTTATAGATGTCACTATTAATGCCACGAAATAGGAAAGAGACCCTAGAGGAACACTTCTATATCAGTTTGTATGCAACATCTTAATTATGAAAAACATAAGATTGATTATTCCAT